GCCCAGGACAGACGGATACCCAGGACAGAGCCTGGCACCCAGCCGCTGGGACAGAGAGACACCCAGTGTCCCCGCTGCCCAGGACAGGTGGACCCCAGACACCCACACAGCCAGAGCTGCTAAGACACCCTGGACAGACAGACACCCAGGAGCCCTGTGCCCAGGACAGACGGACACCTGCCACATCTGCCCAGGACAGACAGACACTCGGGACAGACAGACATGCAGCATCCCTGGGCCCAGGACAGACAGACGCTCAGGACAGACAGGCCCATGACACCCCCAGGCCTGGGGCAGACGGACACACGAAGACTCCTGTGCCCAGGACAAACGGATACCCCCATAGCTGAGACAGACACACGGCCCCCCATGCCCAGGACAGACAGACACACAGGCACCCCCGGCCATGTGCGCTCTGGGGCGGAGCCTTGGGACACGCCCCGCCTCCACACCGAATATTTATGAGGGGCGTGGCTTCACAATGCTGTGTATTTGCATATGGGGCAGGGCTAATCTGCATGCGGCGCGGGTCGGTGCCGGGAGCGTCCCGATTCCTCCTCCCCGGACCCTCCTGCCTCCCGGCCCCCCTCCCTCCGCCACATCAGAGAGCTCGTTTTTTTGTAAAAAATGGTTTATGGGTTCCATTTTTGTATAAAACGCAGGGCAGCCCAGCCCCTCAAACCCCCCCGGCTGCCGCCCCACGGGCCCACGGTGTGTCCCACTCGGAATCTAAACCCATCCCAATGTTTCCTCTACAGTCAATCCTCTATGTTCTTCCTTTCAACTATTCCTTAAAAAAAGTTTCCTGGCATCCCCAAGGTGTTGCTGTGCCCAGGTCGGTACGATGACGGGGGATCCGGCACCGTGCTCCCTTACGCCGTCTTCTGCTGCCCCTTCTTTCCAATCAGGGACTTGTGGATGTGGGGGATGACACCTGTGGAGAGAAGGGGAGAATTCCCATCAGGAATTGCAGAATTCCCAAGAAACTGCAAGAACTCCTCAATTCCCAGCAGAGTTTTGGGATAACAGTGTGAATGTTGAGCAGATCCCCCCTACCCAGTGTGGATCCAGGGAAGCATGGAGCCAGTGGAATTACCCCCACTGCCAAACTCCTGTTTGTTTTCCCACGTAATTCCCACTGAAGGACAGAAAGGAGGGAAAGAGCCCCACCTCCACCGGCGATGGTGGCTTTGATCAGGGAGTCCAACTCCTCGTCACCGCGGATCGCCAGCTGCAGGTGCCGGGGCGTGATCCGCTTCACCTTGAGGTCCTTGGAAGCGTTCCCGGCCAGCTCCAGCACCTGTGGGACAGCAGGAAGAGGTGGGAATGCCGGGGGGAGGGGTGCTGGCCCCGGGGAGGGGGGTCCTACCTCGGCGGTCAGGTACTCCAGGATGGCCGCGCTGTACACGGCCGCCGTGGCCCCCACGCGCCCGTGGCTGGTGGTCCGAGTCTTCAGGTGCCTGTGGATGCGGCCGACAGGGAACTGGGGGGGGGCAATTAACAACCTCGTTAACACCCACAGCCCCCTATGATTTGGGCCCAAGAGACACCCCACCCTGCCTGCCTGGAGCAACTTGACATGATCCTCCCCAAACAGAGGATTTGTCATTACCCGAATTAATTATTCATTATTGTCTAATACATATAATGTATTTATATTGATTATTGTATTTATATATAATATATTTAATTATATAATGTAACACACATTCTATTTGGGCCCAGGAAACTCCCCATCCTGCCTGACTATGGCTTCCAGGAGCAACCCGACATGATCCTCCCCAAATAGAGGATTTAACTGCCATTACCAAATTTGTTTATTTATTACTAACCCCCATAATATGTATATTAATGTTATAACACACTGTATTGTTATGATATACTAATATATTATCATATTGCAATAATATAACAAGATGTAACCTTACAGAACATTAAATAATGTAATTGTGCCTTATTTATAATTAATAATTATAGTTAATATTTAATAATTACAATCATTAATTCTCCCAATTAATCCTCCCACCCTCTCTGTCTCACCCGAGAGCAAACCCCCTCTCCCCTCCACAAGCCCAGGGCTCCTTGTCGCTCCATTATCCCCCAAATCCCACAATATTCAGCTGTCACCTCAAACCAAAGGGTTTGGGCCCCCCAGAATTCCCGCTTCCCAGCGATTCCCTGTGCCATACCTGCAGGCCTGCTCTCTGGGAGCGTGACACGGCCTTGGCCTTGGCCTTGCCGCTGTCCTTGCCCGCCTTGCCGCCAGCCTGGGGGAGAAAGGCCGCATTAATTAATCTAATTAATCCCTGAATCCAAACAATCTCGTTAATTCTAAGGCAGAGGGACCTGCAGCAGGATAATCCAGCAGCTCCCTGGCAACTCGAGGCTTCTCGAACTGCCTGGATCCGAGGGGACAAGGGGGGTTTTGAGGAGCAGGAGCTGCTCCTTCCCCCAAGTGTCCCAGTCCCATGATTTTCCAGAAAATGCCAAATGGGGGGAAAGCATCCCAAAATCCCCATTGTTGACCGTTTTTTTCCAGCAGTTGTGAGCCTATTTTTATTTAAGATTCAATTTCTCCACATGCTGACACAGGGTGTGGGGCAGGACACTGTTCCAGTAGGTGGGAATGTGAATCCTGTGGGATTCAGAGGTAACTCCCTTCCTGCTCCAGGGTGGGAAATCATGTGGGAGCCCCAGAAATCCCACATTTAATGAAAATCGTGTTTGGGGGGTGGAAATGCCAAAGCCAAGAGTTTGGGAGTCACTCAGGAACAAGGTTTGCCGGGCTCTCCCATCCGCCCTCAGGAAATCCAAGGATTGCAGGGACATGGGAAGACTCTGTGACATCACTGATCACTAATGAGAGCTGCTCCTAATGAAGGTGGGAGCTGCAGGAGGGCAGAGGGAGCTGCACCTTCCACGGGGAGCACGTCAGCACCCCCAAATCTGCTCTAGGTAAGAAAAAACAGGAAAAATAATCCCCCGTGTCAGGTTTTCAAGCTCACAGAGAGCCAAGAACCCATAGCAGAGGGAGAGCAGAGCCTGAAAACACACTGGATACTCGTAATCCCTGTTTTTACAGCACATATTGATCCCACAACCCCCATCCCCCCTAAAAAGGAGGAGTTTTGGCTCATGGTGAGGGAGCTGAAAGGACCCAGAGATCCCAGGAGAGTGAGTGGAGCTCGTTAATCCTCAAAACAAGATGCAGTTAACCCGGGAATATCCAAGATCTGCATCCCAGCCCAGCTAGGTGGGAGTTAACACCTCTTCCAGCTCAAACATTGGGAAAAAAATAATCACGAGCAGGAATTAATTAATCCCGAGGTGATTAAATGAGTGGCGGGCGCGGGGTGAGGCTGGGGCATCTGGCTCCAGGAATGCTGGCCCCTGGCAAACCCCTCTGTGTCCTGGCACTTGGGACAGGAAGGCCTTCAGGGATGACTCAGAAAAACAGGGAAGCACCAGGAGTTACTTTTATACAGAGAAAACATCACTCCATAAAACTGCAAAACCCAGGGAGGGGGATCTGGGGGGAGAGAGGGGGGATTTGGGTGGATTTGGAGGGAGAGATGGGGGATTTAGGGGAGGGAAGGAGGAGGCAAGGGGGATTTAGGGATATTCCCTTGCTCTAGGAATAAAACACAGCTCTGGGAAAAGCACTGGCTGTTCCCACTGAGGGCTTTTATCAGCCAGCTGTGAACTTTCCCACTTTTCCATCAGGTTTTCCAGCTGGGAGCCACCTGCCTGGCAGATCTTTGGGGGGGGGCGTTGACTAAAAACCGGGAAGAAAAGGTCGCCACTGAAATCCCGAGGTTTGTCCCGGTTTTCCCCAACCCTCCGCGGGGTTGGCAGAGGGAACACACGAGGTTCCAGCTGCCCCCGGGGCTCCCGGACTCCTCTCTCCTGAGGAGGGAATCCCGAGGATTCCTTCCTCCTCCTCCTCAGGAACTGGGGCTCCCGGGGTCTGAGACAATCCCTGCGTCGCGTCTGTCCCTCCTTCCCACCCCAGCCCCTCACTGGGAGCACATTCCCGTGCCAAACCCTCCCTGGATATGACCCGCTGGACCAAGTAAACCACTTTTTTTTTCCCTTCTTCTTGTTGCTTCAAACAGCAACTTTTTATCTCGTGCCGCACATCCCAGATATCCCCGGGCACAAGTTCTCGGCGGTGGGAGTTGTATAATCCGACGGTGTTTCCATGTAAACGCCACGGGATCAGGGCCTTTCTCGCCCACTCCGGAACCCCCGCGGATCCACAGAAGTCCCCCACACGCCCTGGGGATCCACAGATCTCTCACAGAGCCACAGAACTCCCTCTGGGGATCCCCAGAACCCCCTAAATCCCCCTGCACATCCACAGAAAACGCCTGGGGGTTTACAGGACCCATCCAACGCCCCTTCCCCCTCAGACCCCAAACTCCTATGGGGATCCACAGGACCTCCCAAACCCCCTGTGAATCCACAGAATTGCCCCGCGGATCTACGGAACCCCCCGAAACCCCTGTGGGGGCCCACAGAACATCTTACAGAATCACGGAACCCCCAAAAGGACTCCCAGAACCCCCCGAATCCCCCCGTAGGACCACAGAAACCCCCGCGCGGATTCGCGGAGCCCCCGGGTCCCCTGTGAGCGCACGGAACCCCGAAGGCCCCCACGGACCCTCAGAACCCCCCAAACCACGCTGCAGGTGCGCGGAACCTCTCAGACCCTCCGGAACCCCATCCGCCCGCTTCCCCCGGTGACAGCGTCACCCCCGCTCCCGCCGGGGTCACACGAATGGAGCACCGGGGGGGACGAATCCTCCCGTTTTGCCGTCTCCTCGGGCCCGGCCTTTCGCTCTAGGAAGTGCGTTCGGGGAATCTCTCCGGAGATCCGGGGAGAGGCGGCGGAACCGTTGACTAGAGGACGGCGTGGGGCCTCGCTTGACATGTTGTCCCCCCCGGTGGAAGCGACACAAATTCTGCGTCAACGGCGGACACGGGGTCCGCTCTGACGGAAGTGCCGGAAGACAACCGGATTTAGGGGGCCGACACCTCTCTCCAAGGTTCGTCCCCGGGGCAGCACGGGCCGGGGCGCCAAGGTCAAGGAGCGCGGCCCAGGCTTGAGCAGCGGAAAAGCCGCGGACCGTGCTGCGGCCCCCTGAGCCCTCTTGCGCCCGGGACCCCAACCCTCACATGGGTGCCGCGCCGCGTGAGTCCCGGAACCGCCGGCCGGCCCCCGGACTCCGCTGCGGGAGCCGCCAGAAAATGACCGCGGGCGGGGCCCGCAGCACGGGACGCGCCGCGCCCGCACAATAGCAGCGCCTCAATACTAGTTTTGAATATCGCGAGGACCGTCCATCGCAATAGAAGCGAGACCTTCTTTCTACCTGTCCTCGCTGGCTCCGGCCCCGATGGGTCGTTTACGGCTGTTGTTCGCTTTTTGCACACTCGGCACCAGGCGGGGTGAGGGGCGGTGCGGGGCAGGTACGCGCAGCGTCGGTTGTGGACGTCCTTTCTCGGCTAATGAAGGCACGGGTCGGACAACTGCGAATGGGGCGGCGGGGGTCAATGTGACGCGACATCTTGCGGGAGCCAAAAGTGGAAAGCGTCGAGGCAGGGGTGTATCCGCCATTCGAGGCCCGCAAACTAGTTGGTTTTTGTGTGAGGGGTGAGCTGGGGGGGGGGCGGACGGTGGGTGTTCGCTTGAGAGAAGAGAAGGCAGGAGGGAGGGGATATTGAGGTTCCCCCGGTACCGGTGGGGCCAGGGTGGTCTCACGCACAGACGGTCCCTCCGAGCCGGGGGCTCTGCTCCCGACAGGGCCCGGCCCTGCGTGAGGCCGCGGGAGCCCCCGGCGGAGGGGAGTCCGCCCGGGGACACCGCGGCCCAGCGGTGCCTCTGACCCTCCTCTGTGTTTTCCACATCCATCCCGGTGCTGCCCCGTAGGGTGAGGGAGAAGGGCAGCGGCAGGGAGGTAACACGGACCCCGCAGCACCCTGGGGACTCGGGAGGACCCCGAGAGGCCGAAGGCATAGTCAGTGCTGAGAGCAGGGATCAAAATGTGATCAAAACCCCCGGACCGCCCTGTAGGTGCGGGTTTTAAAAGCAAACGTGCCACGAGAAAAAAATTTCTCACACCCGAGCCCGTTTCGGCGTCAAAAGGAACCTGACGGTGTGACGAGGTGGGTTTATAAATGGAACAGGGGATTCCTGAGCCAGGGTCCTGCCGGGCAGGGCCGGGAGCCCGGGCCGCCCCCGCACGGGCCCTGTCCCGCGGTGCCTCGGTTCGGCCCCAGCTCCGGCAGGGGTGGGGTCAGCTGTCCCGCTGCAGCTGCGAGGGGTAAGGGTGATTGCTTCCAGCCCCACTCCTGCCACCGGCTGGCTCCACGGCGGAGCTAGTGGAGGAGGAGGAGGAGGACAAGGAAGGCACCTGTCGCTGTCACTGTCCCCCCCGGGGCGCCTGGTTCAGGCTCCCTCCGGCACCGGGCAGGGCTCGGAGGGCCCCACGCAGCCCCCACCCCTCGCTGCAGCTGCCGGGAGGGCTCGGGGGGCCCCTAAGCCCCCCATCCCGCAGCTGCTCCGGTATCCCCGGAGGGGCGCTAACACCGCTTGCAGCTGCCGGGCAGAAACTGCCCGCGGCCGGGAGATACTAGGGCTCCCGGGGCCTACCGCACGCAGTCCACGGGCCCCGACCCACCCGGTCACCCGAAGCAGCTGGCGGGGGGGGCCCGGGAATGGAGGCCGGAAGCAGCTGTTTCGCTTCGGCCCTGGGGGGGGTAGGGGCAGGGAGGGCCGCGGGGGGAGCGGGGTCGCGGGCCGGGCCGGTGACGTGGACAGTGACGGGGGGTGAGCGGCTCATCGCGCAGGCGGGTCCCGGTGTCCTCAGATGAGCCCGAGGAGGAGCGCAGCGCGGGGCGGGGGCTGCGGCACTCACGGCAAGGGCAGGAGGGGACACGGGGTAGCACAAACACACCTGACACACACTGCACGCAGCCGTGAGAGCGGCACAGAAGCCTTACCCCCCGTACGCACACCCTGTGCCCGTGCACGTGCCCGCCTGAGCCCTGACGCACACCCCCCAGGCCTGTGCCACGCCAGACCCACCCAGCCTCACACCTGCCCACACCGGGCAGCTGTGTGCTGGCACATGTGCCCTACACACAGCTGGCACACCCCACACAGTCGTGTGGTGGTACACGCACCTTACCTTACACACCCCACACAGCCCTGTGATGGTGCACACCCGACACACACCTGAACACGCCAAACCTCCTCTCTCTCTTCCCATGCTGGTCCCTCACACCTTCCAGCCCCCCCCCACCCTGCTCGAGGACACCCCTCAGGACAAGGTGGGGGACCCCACGTGCCCTGTCTGTGCCACCTCACACCCCCACACCACCCCACAACGTCCCCACAACACTCCAGGGTGATCACCTGCCCCTCACCCCAACAGTGGCACCAGCTACCCCTCCCTGACCCCCCCAAGGAGCGAGCCAGGCCCAGGCTGGTTTTTCATTCACTTTTCCGCATACTTTATTTGTTACAAACATACAATTCTTTAAATATAGACTGTAAAACTCCATTTGCAAAAATCTGCTACGTCAGGAGTGCTCG